TTAACATATTAAACTTTTTTTAATGTATTTTAATATAAGTAATAACTTATATTGTAATATTATGGTCAAAGTATAAATAAACTCTGTTAGTGAAAAATTACTTCATAAACAAAGTATAATAATCATATACGGCTGTGTAATTATTATATTAATAAATTAACCTAATAGCCAATTATTATTTTATATATTTATTTGTATTATTTCACGTGATATTATTAATATTTTTCTTAATAAAGTAATTAGTGTTATGAAATAATGTGTATATAAATTTTTTTTTAATCAAAGTTAATATTTCTAATAAATCGATCTTTTAAGATCTCTTTCAGATGTATTACAATATTAACACATAAAATTAATTAGTAAATAAAGCCTTTTAATATATATATTAATATAGATATAATTTTCTATGCAAATTTTTTTATATAAAATTATATTTAATAAAATGTTCTATTCTAATTACAAATATATTGTTAGTAAACTTCTAGATAGTTTGATTAAAAGAGCATATCAAAATCATTCTAAAAATCCTATTCTATTAGAATTTTTAGAAAATCTAATCAAATTAAATTATATCTAAAATATAAATTAGAAGTTTATAAAAATTTATTAAATAGAAAACATGCTTTAACATTTTTAATCAAATCTATAGCTCAAAAAAATTTATTGCATTTGAAGCTGATCAGAATATAATATATTTTCAGCATTATTATATATATATATTATAGATAATGATACTCAAACTGATAGTATTATCTGATTAAATCTGAGAAATACTTATAATTAGATACTAAAGCATAAGTATAAAAAAGAAAACAATTACCAAATTATAAATAAGTTTAAAGTGTTATCTTAACATCTATTTGACTATAATAAAAAATTTTGAAAAGTTTATATAAGATATAAAAAAGAAATATAAAAAGAAGGTTAATACAAATAAAAAGTTGCAGTATAAAATAAGGATCTGAAGATATAAATACAGAAGGCAGAAAAAGAGCTAATATTTAAAAAGTTATATTCTTACTAATTACTAATGTATCTTATTTATTTTGTATTTAATAAAAATAATTTTGAAGTACTATCAAATCAAAGATAATGAAGTAGATAATAAGTTATTTTTAAAATTGAAAATTAAAAATTAATATATTGTATATTGATAATTTTAATTTTAAAAATTTTAAAAATACTACTATTAGATATATCTGAGTAAGATAAATTTAATAAACTGTATTTACTATATTTTATAAATAATTTATATTTACTATTTAAGAAATATACATCTATATTTTAATTAGAATAATTTCAAAATTGAATTAAGAAAAAAATTAGTATTAATTAATTAATAGATTTAAAAATTCATCATATTACAAAAGTATTATCTTAATATTTATATAAAAAAAAGTTATATGTTATAAAATCTATAAAATTATATATCTATCAACTTTTTATAGAACAAAAATTTATTTATATTTGTTAACGATATTTAAATAAAGTAATAACTATGAAATAACCAAAAATTTAAGATCTAAACTGAAAAATCATCCGATGTCTTTAAAAATCCAATAAAATTTTAGTGTGATTCAATAAACTTAAATAAAAATAGATCGACAATTTGATAATCATTGATGAATTTAAAAATAAAATAAAATATTAAAGAGTTTAAATACAGTAGTTGGTTGCTATTTTTAAAAAAATAATGACTCGTTAACGCATCTCCATTACGTTACTAGATTGAATTTGTAGATCAAAAAGCTGCGCCTTCTACAAAGATTAGGTTTTACTATTATTGTAACAAAGAAAAATAGGGGATCGTACAATGATTAATGTGACAAGGTTCGAGATTCATTGATTGTCATCCTTCTCATCACTTTCCTCAAAAATTAACAGTTAATTTATTTATAAATTTCTTATAAACAAATAAAAAACGGAACAATTTTAAGCCAAGAAGAATAATCATGAAACCAAGTTTATAACAACAATGCAATAAGGTACTAAAATTAATTACAAGATAAGGTCACAGTGTAATTATAATTTTTAAAGTTCTTTCGGGCGTTAAATATATTGCATTGAATTCGGAACCAGATCCCTTTTTTACTATATTGTTCTAAATTATTGTGTAAGTGGTAAAATTAATTTAAGGTTTTTCTCAATCATTTAAATATATATTGGGATGATAACTAAGCTAGTATGCATCAATAAACTGGAAACACCGCACTGCATAAAGAATTTTATCCCCTTGTGCAATTAAAACAAAACCTTTTTTTGGTTCGACTAAATTAGTCCTATAGATTTGATTTATGCATTCATTTTGGTGGCTAAGCTTAAGGGGAGAATAATATGATGAAGCAGAAGTTAAATGTTTTCTTTGTATAAAATTTAATATAAATAAATCAAAAAAAAATTAATCCATTATTTTTTTAAAAAAAAAAGAAAAAAATACCACTTCTCCCTATTCATAAAACTAAATTAAATATTGTATCTTATATACTAACAATATGTATACCTCATTAAACCCCGAGAAAGACTATTGGCAACAGATCAGAAATATTTTTAAAAGATACAAAGTTGAAACAGGTAAATGGATTATATTTTTTTTTTTTGAAAGTTTTTATTTTTTATTTTTTTTAATAATTTTTTTTTTTGTCATATAATTATAGGCCATATAGCAACATTTCCTTCTGCGACGAACTTGAAACTGCAGCCCGCAGATAAGATAGGAATATGTAACGAATGTAATAAAAAACGACCGAATAAAAATTGGTGTAAACCTTGTTATTCCTCCCATTTTAAAAAATCATTTAATAAATGGACAAGTGGTAGTAAAATTTTAAATAAATTTATACATAAATCACAATTGTCATCAACAAGCCGAACCAGTTGTTTAGAATGGATACCAAGGTATCATTTAACTGATGTTGAATTATTAAGTAAAAACAATTATTGTAGCGTCTATTCGGCTATTTGGGTTGATGGTTTTATTGTTAATTGGAATAAAGATGACAAATGTTGGAATAGGTGCAGCGGTGTTAAAGTTATTTTAAAAACTTTTACAAAGATTGATAATGATGTTTCTACGGATTTCTTACACGAGGTAAATATTATCATTTAGGAACTTCGTTTTTTTTTTCTTTTTAAAAAAGAAAACATTATAATTCTCCTTTCCGCTCCCTTTAATTTATTAGCCGAAAGCTCATTTAAATTGTTGTGTCCAAAATGCGTGTATCACTTCGTTCTACGGATTCACTTTAGACCCAATAACGAACGAATATTTAATGGTGTTAGAATATGCTCCAAATGGTACTTTACGTGATTATATTCAAAAGAATATTGGAACATTAGATTGGAAACGTAAATCTCTTATTCTACAAGGGATTGCGTCGGGTTTAAGAACCATTCACAGTGCCAATTTAATTCATGGTAATATTCATACCGGAAACATTTTACAAGAAAATTTACGTTCAAATATCGGAGATTTTAAGTTTGCCACGAAATACCTTGCCAAAAAGAAACCTTTCTCAACTTTACCTGCCAATGCCAATGCTTCGTTAAGCGAAGTATATGGTGTAATGCCTTTTATTGCTCCTGAAATATTAAGAGGACAACAGCCTACATTATCGTCTGATATTTATAGTTTTGGCATGATAATGTGGGAATTATCTTCATTAAATTTACCATTTTATGATAAACCTCATGATGCTCAATTGATTATGGAATTATGCGGTGGATGTCGTCCTAAAATTGTTAAAGAAACTCCCGATGCTTATGTTTCTTTGATGAAACGTTGTTGGCATTCTGATCCTTCTAAAAGACCTACCGCTGAAGAATTGGTTCACATTACTGAAGAATTATCATTATCTATGTCTTATAAAAAGATTGGTTTGCCTGAAAAAGTATTGTTGGAAAATAAAATGATGGAATCTTTGAAAAATATTCATCCTTCAGCCGTTTATTCTAGTAGACTATTGCCTACTCTTTATGATATTCATATCCAAGATGACAATGAAGGTATATATCAATGAACTAAATTTAATTCTTTTGATTATATTATATTCTAAACTCGAACTTCTTTTTTCTTCTAGATAATGATCAATGGTCTGAATACGATTCTGAACCATTAATTGTATTAAAAAATGATAATTTATTATAATATAATAATTAAATTCCTTGTTTCATTTTTTTTTAAAAAAAAAAAATAATATATATATATATATATAGTATGTATATTTCAATTTATTTATTTATTTATTTCGTTTCTTACCTAAAATTTCGACACTTAATATAAATCCAAAAGTAATTTGATACAAAGTCTCGATTTAATAAAATTTCTACTTTTGATCCAAGTTTTATAAAAGAAGTGTACTTCTTGTGCCAATAAGATTATTTAATATAAAAAATTTTTAAAGTACTCTTTTTTAATGCAATCCGTTGGTTTCTTTTTTGCGCAACTTAGTTCTTTGCTCCTTTTATATAAAACAAACATTAAATTACCCCCCGATAATGTAGTACAGAAAGAAATACACATGATTGGCAATTCCAATATTCGTAAAAAAAAAAAAGTTGTATGACCTTAAACACCTCCACTTCACCAAGTATCCTTAACGACATTGGTAGCAGAATCTCGATTGTATCACATAATCATTTATTCATTTTTATCACATTTTTATCACATATTAAAAATGCCGTTTTCAATTGATTTTTTAAGTTTATTCCGATCGGAATATCTTACATAATAATATACAGTATATTACAGTATATTTTATACATAAATTTATCAACGAAATATCAATTTTATCAAAATGGAATCATTATTGAGTGACATTTATTGGAAGTGATGTTTTGTGATATAAACTTAGTTTTAAAATTAATTATTCTTTTAAAATTTATTATAAAGAAATCTTTTTTCTAATTTGTTTAAAATTTTTATCAGTATTACTATAATTAAATTGGTTATTAAAAAATTAATTAATAATAAATAATAAATATGAATAGATTTAAATTAATATTTATTATTTTTTTTAAAATTTAGGTTGAAGTATTTTGATCTTCTGATTAATATACAACAGATAAATATATAGTATAGTTTTGATTTATTTATAACACTTTATTAACTTAACTTAATAATTTTTTATAAATATATAATATAGATTAAATTTCAAGAATACACAAATAAAGTTGTATTAATCTATATATTATATTATATACAATTATATGCATTTCTATTGCAATTTAATATATAATTAATAATATATTATTATCTTTTATAAAAGTAATAAAGCAATATTAAGAATATAATTAATTATTAGTTATTTAATAATTTTATCTTTTCATATTATTCAAAATGTATTTCAAATTTTTTTAGTATTTTAAATACAATCAAACTTTTATATAGTTATACAATTAATATATTAAAATTAGGTAATGAGAACTATTAGAATATCTAAAGCATTCAAATTAATTGATCAACTATACTTAAATTATAGCCAATTACAAATTGATATTATGTTTATCACATGATTTAGTAGATCACATATGGGTAGATATCACATATATAATTTTAACTCTAACTAAAAATATTCTACGCTTATACTTTAGATAATAATAATTATATAAAGATAAAAAATATTTTTTAATTATTTTAATTTTGATCAAAATTATAATTTATAATTTAAAATTATATGATATACAGATTATTTACTATTTAATCAATAGCTAGAATTAAACATATATTTAAAAGATGAAAATTCTTGTTTTTACTTTGATAGTAATATTATTAGCCTTTTTAATAACAGATTAAAGCTAACAATAATTTATCTAGATTTGTTATATTAATTTAAATATTAAGTGTATAAATGAAAAGTATATAATCAAACCTCTATATAGTCATATAATTAGTTTTACCAAAATCAGTGATTATTATAATCAAATAGATAGTGACTATTTAGAGGTTAAATTAATATTATTAAGCTTTATATCATCTATTTATATGTCACACAATATATTTGCAGAGCAAGAAATATTAAAAAATAAAACACTGATTCTCATTTATCAATTTACGTGACGTGATAAATGAAAATCATCATATGATTAACAATTTCTATAATTTCTCTAATACGTAATAGAATCATTACAAGCTTTAAAACTATTATAAGAGAAATTTTTATTATTATATGTTAAACCTATTTGAAGATGAAAAAGATATTCATAAAGAAAAATTAATATTAAAGAAGCAATCGATTATTTAGTAGATACATGAAAGCAAGTAACTGAAGAAACTATTCACAATTATTAGAAAAAGATCAGAATTTTGCTTTTTTTAACTGATGAAGATATAGATAATATAATGCAAATCTAACAAAATTTAGCAGATTATAAAGAAGTTAAGATTAATCAAATAATAAAAGAAATGAAAAACTTAATAATAATCCTTATAATGCTTTATTAAAAAATACATTGACTGATTATTTTCAGGAATTAGAAGAAATTTCAATTAAAGATATTCTAAATGATGATAATATTATATAATTAGTCCAAAAGGAAATACATGAAGAAGATGATGATACTAATGATGATTTTGAAGAAGAACTAATGTTAATATTTCCAAATGAAGCTCTCAAATCTTTACAAATTTGGATTATCTTTTTTGATCAATAACTTATTGATGAATTTAACATTGAAGATGGTTATATTTTTAAAAATACTTAAATATAATAAGGCAGCTTAAAGTTCAATCTCGAAAGTAAGCTCTGATCATTGATTTTTTTAGTAGCTATAAAAATTAAATAGGAAATTATGTAATCTGATAATATCTTTTTTATATGACTTAATAAAGATTATACCACAGTTTCTAAGAAGCTGTATCGCAAAGATAGGATCCTGAACAATATATGTATATATTAGATTTGAGATTACTTATTGAACATAGAAAATTTTTGATTAAGTCACCTAAAATTTTACATAGTAGATAATAAAATTTTAATATAGTTAGATATGTATTTACGTAGCAGAGATAAAAATTATCAAACTCAGTAATTAGTTTGCGTAGCAGAAACATATTTTTGAAAATATGTGTGATGTCAAATATAATCCAAAAAAATAATTATACCTCTTAAATTAAGACATGTAAATAAAATCAACACATAATTTTTAAATTAATTTAATATGTGAT